TCCCTCCCAAGATGTCATACTCTCGTTGGCACCTTTATACTCTCTCCCAGTGTCCCTACTCCCTCCCAGAATATGCTACTCTCTCTATCAGCACCTTTATACTCTCTCCCAGTGTCCCTACTCCCTCCCAGAATATGCTACTCTCTCTATCAGCACCTCCATACTCTCTCCCAGCGTCCCCTAATCTCTACCAGGATGTCCTACTCACTATCAGCACCATATAACTCTCTCCCAGCGTCCCCTAATCTCTACCAGGATGTCCTACCTACTCTCCCTCATCAACCTCCGACTCTCTCTATGGATCCGTGACACTCTCTTCCAGGGGGACCCGCTTTCTTCTCCCATCTCAAACGTAGGCGTTGCGTCCATAGCTCATGACGCTTCCCCGCCGAGCCTCGTCAGAGCTGTCCCCAGGGCCCCCAACTCGATCCACGTCCAGCAGGGCAGCGTCTGACACGCAACGCCCGGCCGCCCCGTTCCAGACCACCGCCGTGGGCCCCACTGCGGCCTCCGTTGAGAAGTAGCTCACTTTGCGGAGGTCGGGGGCGATGCCTCCGATGGAGAAGGCGCTGTCCTTGAGCTGACGCAGGGGGAGAGACACGGGGAGAGACGCGGGGAGAGACGCGGGGAGAGACGCGGGGAGAGACGCGGGGAGAGACGCGGGAAGAGACGCGAGGAGAGACGCGGGGAGAGACGCGGGGAGAGACACGGGAGAGACACGGGAGAGACACGGGAGAGACACGGGACATTCCATGAATCACAACAAGTTGAACAAGATCATTATCCCTTGAGATGGGATACCTCATTTGCAGGGGGGTTCAGATGGGAACATGGCAAAGACAAAATGGCTGAGTCTAGAGCTGAGTCTAGAGCTGAGTCTAGAGCTGGTGCTGGTGCTGAGTCTAGAGCTGAGTCTAGAGCTGGTGCTGAGTCTAGAGCTGAGTCTAGAGCTGAGTCTAGAGCTGGTGCTGGTGCTGAGTCTAGAGCTGAGTCTAGAGCTGGTGCTGAGTCTAGAGCTGAGTCTAGAGCTGAGTCTAGAGCTGGTGCTGGTGCTGAGTCTAGAGCTGAGTCTAGAGCTGGTGCTGAGTCTAGAGCTGAGTCTAGAGCTGGTGCTGAGTCTAGAGCTGGTGCTGAGTCTAGAGCTGGTGCTGAGTCTAGAGCTGGTGCTGAGTCTAGAGCTGAGTCTAGAGCTGGTGCTGAGTCTAGAGCTGAGTCTAGAGCTGGTGCTGAGTCTAGAGCTGAGTCTAGAGCTGAGTCTAGAGCTGGTGCTGGTGCTGAGTCTAGAGCTGAGTCTAGAGCTGGTGCTGAGTCTAGAGCTGAGTCTAGAGCTGGTGCTGAGTCTAGAGCTGGTGCTGAGTCTAGAGCTGGTGCTGAGTCTAGAGCTGGTGCTGAGTCTAGAGCTGAGTCTAGAGCTGGTGCTGAGTCTAGAGCTGAGTCTAGAGCTGGTGCTGAGTCTAGAACTGAGTCTAGAGCTGGTGCTGAGTCTAGAGCTGGTGCTGAGTCTAGAGCTGGTGCTGAGTCTAGAACTGGTGCTGAGTCTAGAGCTGGTGCTGAGTCTAGAGCTGGTGCTGAGTCTAGAGCTAGTGCTGAGTCTAGTGCTGAGTCTAGTGCTGAGTCTGTAGCTGGTGCTGAGCCTAGAGCTGGTGCTGAGTCTAGAGCTGAGTCTAGAGCTGGTGCTGAGTCTAGAGCTGGTGCTGAGTCTAGAGCTGAGTCTAGAGCTGGTGCTGAGTCTAGAGCTGGTGCTGAGTCTAGAGCTGAGTCTGTAGCTGGTGCTGAGTCTAGAGCTGGTGCTGAGTCTAGTGCTGAGTCTGTAGCTGGTGCTGAGTCTAGAGCTGGTGCTGAGTCTAGAGCTGAGTCTAGAGCTGGTGCTGAGTCTAGAGCTGGTGCTGAGTCTAGAGCTGGTGCTGAATCTAGAGCTGGTGCTGAGTCTAGAGTTGGTGCTGGTGGTGATGATGACGATGGCTACTGCTGGGCACCTGCTGCTGCTGCTGTGTGTTGTGAGTGAGGGCCGAGTAGACGGAGGCTTTGTCGTTCATGAACTCGGTGGGCGCGGTGCTGTAGCGGGGCTGCTGCTGCTGCTGCCGGGGCATGCTGCGCGCCACACACACACACACAACAAAGACAAAGATCCCCCGTGTAGCCTTTAGCAGACTATAGGGGCAAGTGCTGTTAGCGAGTAGCACCTATGAAGGCCGGCACGGTAGGGGTGGGTGGCCAGCACCATGTCCGGCCGCCTTTGTCTCTCCAGTGGCGATGTTAACACACCGCACCAGGTACTCATTTGAGGCTGAGTCGACCTAAGGGAGGCCAAGGAGCCGTTCAGTTAATCATCGCTGGTGTTGGTCGCCGCGAGTGGGAAACGAACTCGTGTCGCCGCATTTGTGGCGCAACGCGTCAGCCACTCCGCTTGCCAGCGCCAGCAGTGCTGCCCGCACGGGGTACAGGGCATCTCGTCCTCCATCCGCTGCCTCTGGAGGAATCTTGCCTCTGGCAACTCCCTCACTCACCGTGCCTCGTCCACGTGCTCTCGCCTCAAAATGGCGCCCCTCGGCACGGGAGGTCCTCCGACGGCAAAAACGGCACCCATCATGTGTGTGGTCCTCCGTTCGGAGCCCCCTGCACCCGCCGTCCCCCGCCTCGCGTCGGCCAGCACCCCTCTCCACATGGCGGTTTCCCGCCATGCTGCTTGGTCGGCGCTTGATCACGGGAAATCTCGGCCGCTCTCCCCGTCGACGTGCGGCTTCTACTTTCTCTCCGTCGATGCGCAGCCCCCGTTTTCTCCTTCGACGTGCAACCGCTCTCTCTCTAATAGTAGGTTTTTACCCTTTCAACTGGTACAAAACTGACACCTTTATACAAGGTATCATGTTTGCAATAACCACAACACAAGCAGTCAAAATGCAAACAAAAAGAAACAACTCTGATGATGATAATGATATGCACTGTCCTTGAAGTTGATTGGTCCACACCCGAGACAGCTTTTCTTAGAGCCTAGTCTCCATTGGTGTTGGACCAGATGATGCCAAAAGGCGTACAACTCAAATACAGCGCACTATCAGAGTATTGAGAGCTCGGAGTAAGCATTTACACTATGAGACCTCTTTTACCAGTAGAAAGGGTAAAAACCTATTACTATATTTTGCCACCGGTAAAGGAGGTCTCATAGCGTAAATGCTCTCTCTCTCTGTCGACATGCGGCTTCCACTCTCTGTCGAGGCTGTTCCGCTCCCGCCACCTGGCATAGCACTCTGGCCATCGACGCTCGGCTGATCACTTTTTCCTCGACGTGCTGCTTCTCTCCTCGGTCGACACCCAGACGCTCTCTCTCTCTCCGTCGACATGCAGCAACTCTCTCTGGCAACGACGACAATAGCGACGACAAGACCCAATCCCAGAGCTCTCGCTCTCCGTTGTTGATATCCCCCCTGGCGCGGCCAGGGCGGAGCCAAGCCGAAGGAGGGGAGCCTGCGTGGCCCTCTAGAGGGTTCTAGCGGCTTCCTCACGAGGTCTATCGTGACCCTTGCCCCAGTTCCTTCGCCTTGCCGGCACTCCCCGTATACGCTCAGCGGCGTGTGCGCGAAGTGCCCACCTGCAGTTGCTGCCGCTAAATATACAGCTGCAGGCGATGCCTGCTGCTGTATATTTAGAGTTTGTGTGTCTCTCTCTCTCATCATCATCATCGCGGTGGCTAGGAGATGTTAACTCTCTCGCCTGGTATACACGAGGTCGTGGGTTCGATACCGACCCTGACGATGCCTGCTGCTGCTGTATATTTGGAGTTTGCGTGTCTCTCTCTCTCCCCTTGGTCGTGTGGATTTTTCTCCGGGTCCTTCGGTTTTCCCCTCCACATTCAGAATCGACATCACGGCGTTGAGACTTCAGAACATTTGGCTCCTGCTATAAATGTCCACGCGATGATCAGCCACTTTGGTTGAGCTGTCACTTGTGATAGGAAGGTCGCTTCTGACAACGATCTACATCGCTCAGTGGGGCCCTACCTGGCAACATACAAAAACTGCCGTCACAGTTGTGTAGAGGAGTAAACTTCTCTACAGTTGTGTATCCATTTGCGGGGAGCGGTGGCGTAGTGGTCAGCGCACTGCGCTACAAACCCAGCGACCCGAGTCGATTCCTGCTCGTGGCCGCCAACACCAGTGACGATTACCTTAACCGGTCCTTGGCCTCCCCTAGGTCGACTCAGCCTCAAATGAGTAGCTGGTGCGGTGTGTAAACATCGCCACTGGAGAGACAAAAGCGGCCGGGCGTGGTGCTGGCCACCCACCCCCTTCGTGTGCGGTGCCGGCCGTTGGTGATGGTGATGATGTTGATGATGCAGGTGATGCTGCTGATATCGGTGGTGGTGATGGTATTGCAATTGTTTGGGGTGATGGTGATGGTATTGATATTGATTGGGGTGATGTTGGTGGTGGTGCACGTGGTGATTGTTGTGGTGATGGTAGTGATAGCGGTCATAATGGTGGTGATGGTGTTGATATTGGTCGGGTTGATGGTGGTGATGGTGATGGTGGTGATGGCGTTGATATTGGTTGTAGTGGTGTTGATGATGGTAGTGATGATGGCGGTGATGGTGGTGATGGTGGTGATGGTGGTAGTGGAGATGTTGGTTATGGCGGTGATGGTGGTGATGGTGATGGTGGTAATGGTGATGGTGGTGGTAATGGTAGTGGTGGTGGTGGTGATGGTGGTGATGGTGGTAATGGTGGTAATGGTGGTGGTGGTAGTGATGGTGTTGATGGTGGTGATGATGGTGATGGTGGTGATGGTGGTGGTAATGGTGGTGGTGATGATGGTGGTGATGGTGGTAATGGTGGTGATGGTGGTGATGGTGGTAATGGTAGTGGTGGTGGTGGTGATGGTGGTGATGGTGGTGATGGTGGTGGTGGTGATGGTGATGGTGGTGATGGTGATGGTGGTGATGGTGATGGTGGTGATGGTGATGGTGGTGATGGTGATGGTGGTGATGGTGGTGATGGTGGTAATGGTGGTAATGGTAGTGGTGGTGGTGATGGTGGTGATGGTGGTGATGATGGTGATGGTGGTGGTAATGGTGGTGGTGATGGTGATGGTGGTGATGGTGGTGATGGCGGTGAGGGTGGTAATGGTGGTAATGGTGGTGGTGGTAGTGATGGTGGTGATGATGGTGATGGTGGTGATGACCCTCACTTGTGAGTGTCGTCCTTCACCCCGTAGCAGGAGGAGCACTTGATGATGGCCCCGACGATGCAGAGGATGGAGGAGACCCACCCCAGGTAGAGGCACCATCCGTACTCGAACCTACTCGCCACCACCATCACCACCGTCATCATTACGATCGTCAACATTAGAATCCTCATCAACATCGTCATGATCATCATCAACATCAGCAACATCATCAACATCGTTAACATTGTCATTATCATCAACATCATCAATATTGACATCATAAACACCGCCATCATCACAATAACCATCATCGTCATCAACATCATCACGAGATCCATCATCATCATCAACACCATCATCAACATCATTAACATCATCAACATCATCATCATCATGAGAACCATCATCATCATCATCATCATAAGAAACATTAAGCGTAGAGAAGGGAGAGAATGACCGTGGCCAAGAAGACCTGAAGCTTCGTGCGGAGCGACAGACCAGGTAGCTTCCACACAGCGTTACGCAACCGATGAAAAGATATTGTCACTCGGCTGATTCGGAGTGAGACCTCTGCTGCTGGACCGGAGCCTGAGCACACTGCCCAGGTCAGGGAAACTCTCCACTCTCTCCACAACTGCTCCAAGGCCTATACTCACTCACTCACACACTCACTTACACTCACACACACTCACACACACTCACACTAACGCACACTCACTGACTAATTCACACTCACACCAACCCACTCACTCACACTCATTCACACTTACACTTACTGACGAATTCACACTAATCACTCACAATTACTCACACTCACTCACTGACTAGTCACACTCACCCGCTGACTAATTCACACTGAGTCACTCCTACTCCGCGCACCCGGGGGCGAGATCACACGCACCCCACACCGCTACCACCACCACCACCACACCGCTACCACCACCACACCGCTACCACCACCACCACACCGCAAGGTACCCAAGTCAGGGATCTCACTCAGGGCCCTCTCGTGGTGAGGCACAGGGGGCACCACCGCGTCGCTACCACCACAACCACCACCACCACCACCACACCGCTACCACCACCACTACACCGCTACCACCACCACTACACCGCTACCACCACCACTACACCACTACCACCACCACTACCACCACTACCACCACCACCACACCACTACCACCACCACCACTACCACCACCACTACACCACCACCACTACACCACTACTACCACCACTACACCACCACTACCACCACCACACCACTACCACCACCACCACCACTACACCACTACCACCACCACCACACCACCACCACTACACCACTACCACCACCACTACCACCACTACCACCACCACCACACCACTACCCACCACCACTACCACCACCACACCACTACACCACCACTACCACCACCATACACCACCACCACCACTACACCACTACCACCACCACTACCACCACCACACCACTACCAACCACCACCACCACTACCACCACCACTACACCACCACCACTACACCACTACCACCACCACTACACCACCACTACCACCACCACCACAGCACTACCACCACCACTACACCACTACCACCACCACTACACCGCTACCACCACCACTACACCACTACCACCACCACTACACCACCACCACCACCACTACAACCACTACCACTACCACACCACCACCACCACCACTACACCACTACCACTACACCACCACCACCACCACCACTACACCACTACCACCACCACTACACCACTACCACCACTACCACTACACCACTACCACCACCACTACACCACTACCACCACCACTACACCACTACCACTCCACCACTACACCACCACCACCACCACTACACCACTACCACTACCACACCAACACCACCACCACTACACCACCACCACTACACCACCACCACCACTACACCACTACCACCACCACTACACCACTACCACCACTACCACCACACCACTACCACCACCACTACACCACTACCACCACCACTACACTGCTACCACCACCACTACACCACTACCACCACTACTACACGACCACCACGACCACTACACCACTACCACCACCACCACACCACCACCACCACCACCACTACACCACTACCACCACCACTACACCACCACTACCACCACCACCACACCACTACCACCACCACCACTACCACCACCACTACACCACCACCACCACCACTACACCACTACCACCACCACTACACCACCACCACACCACTACCACCACCACACCACTACCACCACCACCACACACCACTACCACCACCACTACACCACTACCACCACCACCACACCACTACCACCACCACTACACCACTACCACCACCACTACACCACTACCACCACCACCACACCGCTACCACCACCACTACACCACCACTACCACCACCACCACACCGCTACCACCACCACCACACAACCACACCGCTACCAACCACCACGACACACTACCACCACCACTACACCACTACCACCACCACCACAAAACAGCTACCCTACCACCACCACACACCACTACCACCACCACCACACCACTACCACCACACTACACCACTACCACCACCACACAACCGCTACCACCACCACTGCACCACTACCACCACCACCACACCGCTACCACCACCACTACACCACTACACACCACCACCACCACACCACTACCACCACCACTACACCACTACCACCACCACTACACCACCACTACCAACCACCACACCACTACCACTACCACCACCACTACACCACTACCACCACCACCACACCACCCCCACCACAATTACACCACTACCACCACCACTACCCACCACTACCACCACCACCACACCACTACCACCACCACTACACCACTACCACCACCACCACACCACTACCACCACCACTACACCACTACCACCACCACTACACCACTACCACCACCACTACACCACTACACCACCACCACACCACTACCACCACCACTACACCACTACCACCACCACTACACCACTACCACCACCACCACCCCGCTACCACCACCACTACACCACCACTACCACCACCACCACACCGCTACCACCACCACCACACCACTACCACCACCACTACACCACTACCACCACCACTGCACCACTACCACCACCACCACACCGCTACCACCACCACTACACCACTACCACCACCACTACACCACTACCACCACCACTGCACCGCTACCACCACCACCACTACGCCACTACCACAACCACTACACCACTACCACCACCACTACACCACTACCACCACTACACCACTACCACCACCACCACACCACTACCACCACCACTACACAACTACCACCACCACTACACCGCTACCACCACCACCACACCACTACCACCACCACTACACCACTACCACCACCACTACACCGCTACCACCACCACCACACCACTACCATCACCACTACACCACTACCACCACCACTACACCACTACCACCACCACTACACCACTACCACCACCACTACACCACTACCACCACCACCACACTGCTACCACCACCACTACACCACTACCACCACCACTGCACCACTACCACCACCACTACACCACTACCACCACCACTGCACCACTACCACCACCACTACACCACTACCACCACCACTACACCACTACCACCACCACTACACCACTACCACCACCACTGCACCACTACCACCACCACTACAACCACTACCACCACCACTACACTGTTACCACCACCACTACACCACTACCACCACCACTACACCGCTACCACCACCACTACACCACTACCACCACCACTACACCGCTACCACCACCACTACACCACTACCACCACCACTACACTGCTACCACCACCACTACACCACTACCACCACCACTACACCGCTACCACCACCACTACACCACTACCACCACCACTACACCACTACCACTACACCACTACCACCACCACTACACCACTACCACCACCACTACACCACTACCACCACCACTACACCACTACCACTACCACTACACCACTACCACCACCACTACACCACTACCACCACCACTACACCACTACCACCACCACTACACCACTACCACCACCACTACACTGCTACCACTACCACTACACCACTACCACCACCACTACACCACTACCACCACCACTACACCACTACCACCACCACTACACTGCTACCACCACCACTACACCAGCACCACCACCACTACACCACTACCACCACCACTACACCACTACCACCACCACTACACCACTACCACCACCACTACACTGTTACCACCACCACTACACCACTACCACCACCACTACACTGCTACCACCACCACTACACCACTACCACCACCACTACACCACTACCACCACCACTACACCACTACCACCACCACTACACTGCTACCACCAGGGTGCCGCCCCCTCACCGGGTGCCCAAGAGGTTGGGGTTGTAGAAGTCCAGGGTGATGCGGTGGGCGTAGAACGAGAGTGCAACCATCGAGCTCATGCCTGGGGGGGCAGTGGGGTGGGGGGCATTGGGGGGGGGCAGTGGGGGGGGTGCAGGGGGGGATAAGTCAACAGTGGAAAGGGCCAAGGGGTGGCCAATGTGGCCACCAGTACTGGCATGTCCGGTAGTATCTGTGTGTCTGGTAGTATCTGTGTGTCCGGTAGTATCTGTGTGTCTGGTAGTATCTGTGTGTCTGGTAGTATCTGTGTGTCCGGTAGTATCTGTGTGTCTGGTAGTATCTGTGTGTCTGGTAGTATCTGCGTGTCTGGTAGTATCTGCGTGTCTGGTAGTATCTGTGTGTCTGGTAGTATCTGTGTGTCTGGTAGTATCTGTGTGTCCGGTAGTATCTGCGTGTCTGGTAGTATCTGTGTGTCTGGTAGTATCTGTGTGTCTGGTAGTATCTGTGTGTCTGGTAGTATCTGTGTGTCCGGTAGTATCTGTGTGTCTGGTAGTATCTGTGTGTCTGGTAGTATCTGTGTGTCTGGTAGTATCTGTGTGTCTGGTAGTATCTGCGTGTCTGGTAGTATCTGTGTGTCTGGTAGTATATGTGTGTCTGGTAGTATCTGTGTGTCTGGTAGTATCTGTGTGTCTGGTAGTATCTGCGTGTCTGGTAGTATCTGTGTGTCCGGGAGTATCTGTGTGTCTGGTAGTATCTGTGTGTCTGGTAGTATCTGTGTGTCTGGTAGTATCTGTGTGTCTGGTAGTATCTGCGTGTCTGGTAGTATCTGTGTGTCTGGTAGTATCTGCGTGTCTGGTAGTATCTGTGTGTCTGGTAGTATCTGCGTGTCTGGTAGTATCTGTGTGTCCGGTAGTATCTGTGTGTCTGGTAGTATCTGTGTGTCTGGTAGTATCTGTGTGTCCGGTAGTATCTGTGTGTCTGGTAGTATCTGTGTGTCTGGTAGTATCTGTGTGTCTGGTAGTATCTGCGTGTCTGGTAGTATCTGTGTGTCTGGTAGTATCTGCGTGTCTGGTAGTATCTGTGTGTCTGGTAGTATCTGTGTGTCTGGTAGTATCTGTGTGTCTGGTAGTATCTGTGTGTCTGGTAGTATCTGCGTGTCTGGTAGTATCTGCGTGTCTGGTAGTATCTGCGTGTCTGGTAGTATCTGTGTGTCTGGTAGTATCTGCGTGTCTGGTAGTATCTGTGTGTCTGGTAGTATCTGCGTGTCTGGTAGTATCTGTGTGTCCGGTAGTATCTGTGTGTCTGGTAGTATCTGTGTGTCTGGTAATATCTGTGTGTCTGGTAGTATCTGTGTGTCTGGTAGTATCTGTGTGTCTGGTAGTTTCTGTGTGTCTGGTAGTATCTGCGTGTCTGGTAGTATCTGTGTGTCTGGTAGTATCTGCGTGTCTGGTAGTATCTGTGTGTCTGGTAGTATCTGTGTGTCTGGTAGTATCTGTGTGTCTGGTAGTATCTGTGTGTCTGGTAGTATCTGTGTGTCCGGTAGTATCTGTGTGTCCGGTAGTATCTGTGTGTCTGGTAGTATCTGTGTGTCTGGTAGTATCTGTGTGTCCGGTAGTATCTGCGTGTCCGGTAGTATCTGTGTGTCTGGTAGTATCTGTGTGTCTGGTAGTATCTGTGTGTCTGGTAGTATCTGTGTGTCCGGTAGTATCTGCGTGTCTGGTAGTATCTGTGTGTCTGGTAGTATCTGTGTGTCTGGTAGTATCTGTGTGTCTGGTAGTATCTGTGTGTCCGGTAGTATCTGTGTGTCTGGTAGTATCTGTGTGTCTGGTAGTATCTGTGTGTCTGGTAGTATCTGCGTGTCTGGTAGTATCTGCGTGTCTGGTAGTATCTGTGTGTCTGGTAGTATATGTGTGTCTGGTAGTATCTGTGTGTCTGGTAGTATCTGTGTGTCTGGTAGTATCTGCGTGTCTGGTAATATCTGTGTGTCCGGGAGTATCTGTGTGTCTGGTAGTATCTGTGTGTCTGGTAGTATCTGTGTGTCTGGTAGTATCTGTGTGTCTGGTAGTATCTGCGTGTCTGGTAGTATCTGTGTGTCTGGTAGTATCTGTGTGTCTGGTAGTATCTGTGTGTCCGGTAGTATGTGCGTGTCCGGTAGTATCTGTGTGTCTGGTAGTATCTGTGTGTCTGGTAGTATCTGTGTGTCCGGTAGTATCTGTGTGTCCGGTAGTATCTGTGTGTCCGGTAGTATCTGTGTGTCCGGTAGTATCTGTGTGTCCGGTAGTACCAGTGTGGTTGCTAGCACTCGCGTCTCCAGTAGTACTGACGTGTCCAGTAGTCCCAACATGTCCTGTGGTACTGGCGTGGTTGCTAATACCAGTGTGTCAAGTCGTACCGGCGTGTCCAATGGCAGCACCGGTCTATCTGGTGGTATTTCCGGCGTGTCCTCTCACCCGCGAGCAGGTACAGGGCCCCTGCTGAGGCCACGATCCGCGCCTTCAGCCGCCAGTTGGAGCCCCCGAAGCGCGAGCACTTGGTGCCCAGCAGCGCCAGCACCGTGCCCAGGTGGCCCAGCACCAGCGACAGCACCATCAGGGCCTGGCACACCTTCAGGTGCACTGCGGGCAAACGCGGTGGACGACAACAATGGGCCGGTGATGGCGGTGGTGGTGGAAGATGGCGACAGCGTTGTTAGCAGCTGGCTGCAATCCCGTGTCGCTCCCGCTGTTTATCTACTACTAGCAAGAAGTACCCGGCGTTGCCCGGGGGAAAAACACGTTTCCAAACTTCTCTTAAAAACATAACATATACATGCACAAATACGGAGCTATTGTGAAAGCCTGGCATGCCATTTTTCTGTCCATTTGTCCATCAACAAAATTACAAGAGGCTTGCAGAAGTCCAAAAGTTATGGAAAGTGGGGGTAAATATTTGATCTCAAAGGTTTCCGAAAATTGTCGACCCCCCCCCCCCCTGAAAATATAGGTTTACCCCTGCGTAGGCATATATACGTACACACCTTACATACAATAGAGTGAGTTGTATCTAGTGATTCTAGAGTAGTGTCTGACTCTACAGTAGTATCTACTTACTCTACAGTAGTATCTACTGACTCTACAGTAGTATCTACTTACTCTATAGTAGTATCTACTGACTCTACAGTAGTATCAACTTACTCTAAAGTAGTATCTACTGACTCTACAGTAGTATCTACTGACTCTATAGTAGTATCTACTTACTCTATATGAGTATCTACTTACTCTACAGTAGTATCTACGGACTCTATAGTAGTATCTAGTGACTCTACAGTAGTATCTACTGACTCTATAGTAGTATCTACTGACTCTATAGGAGTATCTACTTACTCTACAGTAGTATCTACGGACTCTATAGTAGTATCTACTGACTCTACAGTAGTATCTACTTACTCTATAGTAGTATCTACTTACTCTATAGTAGTAGCTACTGACTCTATAGTAGTATCTACTGACTCTATAGGAGTATCTACGGACTCTATATAGTATCTACTTACTCTATAGTAGTATCTACTGACTCTGTAGGAGTATCTACTTACTCTATAGGAGTATCTGCCGTCTTCGTGATCAACGTCAGAAACCGCATCATCACCGTGGTTGCAGAGGCGGTCAAGGCCGCTGTTCACAGGTCAACCTTCAACCAGATATTTCCTCTGACCCCTCGACGCCGCGCCTCTTTGGATCTTCACATTCACCTTCACACATCCGCCTCGGCCTACTCAACTCATGCTCCATTACCAACAAATCAGCCCTCATTCAGGATACCATCACTGACCACCACATCGACCTTTTGCTTATTACTGAGACCTGGTGCAGGCCAGACTCCCCGCCAGCCATCTCTTTGGAAGCCGTGCCCCCGGGATACAAGGTTCTACATAAACCTCGTGCAACTAACCAGCGGCGCGCTGGCTTATTGGTCGTCTACAATGCTGACTTGAGAATTAAAGAGCTCTATCTACCGATGGTTCCCGCCATCTTTGAGGTCCAGTCCGTGTCGCTCACAACTAACACCGAGTGCTTTTCCCTCATTTCCATCCATCGCCCTCCAGATGGCAACATCGCTACCTTCTTACACGAGCTTTCCGAATTTGTTTACCTCATTCCTAACCCATCGCACAGGCTCATGCTTACTGGAGATTTTAACTACCCCGGCAATACTCCAGCCTCCATTGATAGCCACCTCGAGTCAACCTTGGCCTGCCATAACCTGATCATCACCAACTCAGGCCCCACCAGAGCTTCCTCAACAAATGTTGAGCGTATGTTCCACCTGGTTCTGGAACCTGACCTGGATCATCGCATCTCTCCACTAGGAGTTTTCCAAACTGGTTACTCCGACCACCACCTCATCCTATTTTCCCTCCAAATTCCCAAGCCAATCACCATGAAAACCACCTGCCACTCCCGTAATATCAAGGGTATCAAGTTTTCCACTCTACAGCACCTCCTCGCAAATTTGCCATCAATGGTATTCCCATAATCCGATCCAACTGTCTGCCCTCTTCAGCTAGAAGCTGACCTAAGGGCGGGGCAGGACAAGCTGGCACCATTCAAACCACGAACCACGGGGTAGCCTTCCCACGACACTCACAGCTGCCTGCAGGAAAACCAACGAACTTATCCTTGCATCACGTTCCTCCTACATTGCAGAATGCATCAAAACAGCTACCGGAAACCCACGCATCCTTTGGAAAACCCTCAAGGATCTTCTACATCCTGGTAGCAACATGGTGCCTCACCTTAGCAATTCCCTGGCCTCATTCAAACCTGCCACCTCTTTCAAAACTTACTTCACCAACAAGCTGATCACCATCGCAAACTCCTGCACGTCTTCGCTCACATCGCACCAACGTACCCTTCTTCCTTTTTCTGAAATAGTAAGCACTCGCCCAAACACCTTTCTAACCACGATCAAGCCGGTGTCTACAAAAGACGTTTTCTCTTTAATTAAATCACTTCACATGAAGCCATCTCCACTCGATGTCCTCCCAGGTTCCTTGTTTAAGCAATGTGCTCCGGAACTCGCCATCATGATCAGGAACATCGCAAATGCCTCCTTCTCTACGGGGTGTTTTCCATCCAACCTCAAATCTGGCCTGGTTTCCCCCCTGTTAAAGAAACCAAGTATCGTCCCAATACTAATCTCTCGAATCTTTCTAAACTCCTCGAACGACTCGCCCTCGCCCAAATCAAACCCCGTATCACCTCCTCCCCAAACTACTGCTCCTTCCAACCAGCTTACCGTCAAAACTACTCCACAGAAACAGCACTCGCCAGAGTCCTCGATGACATTTGAATGATTATTGACTCTGGCTCCATCGTTGCTCTTGTAAGTCTGGACATTTAATCGGCCTTTGACACCGTCAACCACTCGCTCCTTACTTCCCTCCTGAAATACGACTTCGGTATATGTGGCTCAGCACTCAAGTGGATACTGTCATACCTTAATGATCGGCAATCCTCACAAAACGCTTCTGCTGAAACAGAAGCGTCGTGTGGCGTCTCCCAGGGCTGCGTCCTCGGTCCCATGCTGTTCACGGCCTACACTTCCCCGATCGGCCGCCTCATCGCAAGCTTCGGTGTCAAGCACCATTCATATGCGGATAACACTATTCTGTTCACCGCCATCAATTCCTCCAATGCGTCTGGATTTGAGAGGCTCTCGGAATGAACCACTGGCCTGCAACAGTGGTTCTCCGCACACAACTTTGCCCTCAATCCTTCAAAGTCAGTGGCCATCATGTTAGGTACCAGGCAACGTCTCGACTCATGCGCGCTCCCAACACACAGACACATGTTTGGTCACAGCATCAGGTTCACCAATCACTTCAGCTACCTCGGTGTCATCCTAGATTCAACTTTATCCTTCGACCGCCAAACAAATCAAATCATCAATTCCTGTAACTTTCACCTGAAGGCTCTCAGACACCTACGTCCTCTCATCTCCACTGAAACCGCCAACACATTGGCGTGTTGCATAGTTGGGTCTCGCCTCGACTAATGCAACTCCATCCTAGTCCGGTCTTCCTCTGGCAACCTCAAAAAACTTCAAATACTTCAAAACAACCTGGCACGCGTCGTCATTAGCCGCACTCATCCCCGTCTCGACTCACTTGCCTCTCTGTGCCCTCCACCAGCAGGGTCACATACAAGATCATCTGCCTCTGCCACCACGCCTTCACATCTGCCTGCCCACCGTACCTCTCTTCATTACTGACTTGCAGCACGGCACACGGCAGATGCCTTCGCACTGCGACTCACGACCTCCTCTCGATACCAAGATCCAGGACGGTCACGTCTATGTGCCGCTTCGCGGTGGCTGCCAAAACAGTCTGGAACGGCATCCCCTTTGCACATTTTCAGCATCACCTCTCCTTCAAGAGACACTTAAAAACTGACCTCTACAACCACGTGCTTTCGAGTGACTCTGAGCTTGGCTCCGCGTCCCTGAGTTGCGACCATTACGTCCGCAAAATTGCGCGTGTTACAAATTGCATTTTTATTATGATGGTGGTCATGGTGTTGGTAGTGGTGGGGATGGTGGTGGTGATGATGGCAATGGTGGTAATGATGGCGACGATGATGGTGATGATGGCAATGGTGGTGGTGGTGGTGATGGTGATGATGGCAATGGTGGTGATGGTGATGATGGCAATGGTGGTGATGATGGCGACGATGATGGTGATGATGGCAATGGTGGTGGTGATGGTGATGATGGCAATGGTGGTGGTGATGATGGCAATGGTGGTGATGATGGCGACGATGATGGTGATGATGGCAATGGTGGTGATGATGGCGACGATGATGGTGATGATGGCACACCTTGACACGGTACCCCCACCCCCTCCTAGCCCACCCTCACTCCCTCCTAGCAACCCCCACCCCCCACCCCCTCCTAGCCCCCCACCCCCTCCTAGCCCCCCCCCTCCTAGCACCCCCCCCCCCCCCACTCACGCGGCATCCCCATCGTGGTGAAGAATCGCTTGCAGGTGAGGGTTCCCATGGCATTCCCGGCGCACGTCTTCCAAAGGCCCTGGTAGATCCAGGAGGCGATGATGATGGACGCGCCGCGAGACGTCGTCTTCCACTCATTGCACACCGTGCTCACCACGAGGCCCACCAACCCCAGGAAGCACAGCATCAAGCCCAGCACCTCGCTCCCCATCGAGCCCATGCCTGGCGCTGGCACGGGTAGGGGATGATGGCACGGGCAGGGAGATGGCACGGGTAGGGGAGCAGGTGGTGGCACGGGTAAGGGAGGGAGGAGGTAGTAGGTGAAGGAGGAGGTGGTAGGGGAGGGGAGGGAGGAGGTGGCACGGGGAGGGGAGGTGGCACGGGAAGGGAGGTGGTGGTGGCACGGGTAGGGGCAGGCGGCACAGGTAGAGGAGGTGGCACGGGTTTGGAAGGGAGGTGGTGGTGGCACGGGTAGGGGCAGGCGGCACAGGTATAGGAGGTGGCACAGGTTTGGAAGGGAGGTGGCACGGTATGGGAGGGAGGAGGTGGCACGGGTATGGGAGGTGGCACGGGTAGTGGAGGTGGCACGGGTAGGCGTGTGTACCTGTGTATGCAGCTGTGTATACACCTGCGTGTGTATTAGTGTGTTGCATAGTATGTGTGTAGTGTGTGTGTAGTGTATGTGTGTAGTGTGTGTGTGTAGTGTGTGTGTGTAGTGTGTGTGTAGTGTGTGTAGTGTGTGTGTAGTGTGCAGTGTGTGTGTAGTGTGCAGTGTGTGTGTGTTTGTAGTGTGTGTGTAGTGTATGTGTGTAATGTGTGTGTGTAGTGTGTGTGTGTAGTGTGCAGTGTGTGTGTGTAGTGTGTGTAGTGTGTGTGTAGTGTGTGTATAGTGTGTGTAGTGTGTTTTAGTGTGTTTGTAGTGTGTATAGTGTATGTGTGTTGTGTGTGTGTGTAATGTGCAGTGTGTGTGTGTAGTGTGTGCGGGGGAAATGGCAATTAAACAAGGTTCACAGTCACAGGGTATCACTCGTACAATCATCATTCATGTTCGGATTAGAAGTCCTCGTAGTGATCTGACCAAATCTGTGCCGTGAGACCCTCCACCACCCGACACGGCCACGCGGTGCACAGACGTTCGACGGAGCGTCGACGGTGACCGTGACAGCCTCAGCATGTTCTATCCACTGCTGAATGAAGATCAGTGTGACGATGATGTCTCCACGCAGCGCGTGTTCCCTAATCCTCGTGGTGGTGTGACCAGCACCACGCCCGGCCGCCTTTGTCTCCCCAGTGTCGATGTTTACACGCCGCTTCGGGTACTCATTTGAGGCTGAGTCGACCTAGGCGAGGCCCAAGACCCACTCAGATAATCGTCACCGGCGGTGTCGGTGGCCGTGATCCGCAAATCGAACTCGGGTCGCCGGGTTCGTAGCGCAGCGCGCTAACCGTTGCCCCACCGCTCCCCACAAACTTAACAGATACACAGATCACAGCCTAGACAGAATGTTGGGGGCAAATGATGTTTCGCGAGTAGCAGCGACTATGAAGGCCGGCACGACACACGAGGGGGGGTCGATGAAACGATCCATGGGATGGACTTGTCACCGCCAGAGGAACGTGGAAGTTCCTAACTACGAGGGTGCCCCCCTCCCTCGTGGTTAGGAACTTCCACGCAGGGGCTCTGCAGGGCTGTGAACGAAGCGATGAGCATCGATGGAGGAGATTGTTCTGATGCTCGTGAGCCTCTTGTGTGTGATGTAGTGTGTGATGTAGTGTGTGTGTAGTGTGTGTAGTGTGTGTGATGTAGTGTGTGTGTAGTGTGTGTAATGTAGTGTGTGTGTAGTGTGTGTGATGTAGTGTGTGTAGTGTGTATGTAGTGTGTGTAGTGTGTGTGATGTAGTGTGTGTGATGTATGAGGAGCGGTGGTGTAACGGTTAGCACGCTGCGCTACGAACCCGGCGACCCGAGTTCGATTCGTGGTCACGGCCACCAACACCATCAGTGACGATTATCTGAACCGGTCTTGGGCCTCCCGTAGGTCGACTCAGCCTAAAATGAGTACTTGGTGCGGTGTGTGAACTTCGCCACTCGGGAGACAAAGGCGGCCGGGCGTGGTGCTGGCCACCCACCCTCTCGTTTGCCGTGCTGTGAACGGTTCAGGCTATACGGGGCGGGGGGGTCTTTGTGTTTTTGTGCCAAGTGTGCGTGAATACTACTCGGGAGTATGTGTAGGACTCACCTTGCCTGGATCCGCGTCTCTCCGTCTCTCTCTCCCCTATTGCCCTCCACCCCTCTCTCACACCTCTCTCAATCTCTCACGCCTCTCTCTCTCCCCTCTATTCGCCCCCCCCCCACTCTCTCTTCTCCTCTTCCCTCTCCCTCGCGCCCTGCCCCACGCTCTCCGCGTTAACAGGTCACACACAAAGTACCTGTATAGATTGTATATATAGACTGCCCTCCACCGACTCACCCACTCACTCACTGACTCACTCACCCACTCACTCACTCACTCACCCACTCACTCACCCACTCACTCACTCACTCACCCACTCACCCACCGACTCATTCACTCACTCACCCACCCACTCACTCACTCACCCACTTTACCCACCGACTCATTCACTCACTCACCCACCCACTCACTCACCTACCGACTCACTCCCCATTCACTCACCCACTCACCCACTCACTCACCCACCTTCACTCACCCACCGACTCACTCACTCATCCACTCACCCACTCACTCACTCACCCACTCACTCACTGACTCACCTACTCACTCACTCACTCACCCACTCACTCACTGACTCACCTACTCACTCACTCACTCACCCACTCATTCACCCACTCACTCACCTTCACTCACCCACCTTCACTCACCCACCGACTCATTCACTGACTCACTCACCCACTCACTCACCCACTCACTTACCCACCGACTCGATCAGCCAGTCACTCACTCACCGAGCCACTCACTCACACACCTACTTACCCACACACCCAAACACCCACTCACCTACTCACACACTCACTCAGTCACTCACTCATCCACCCAAATACCCACTCACCCACACACTCACTCACTCGCTCACCCATTCAGTCACCCATACACTCACCCACCCACTTAGTCAGACACCCACTCATCCACCCACTCATCCACCCACTCATCCACCCAGTCACTCACCCAGTCACTCACCCAACCCACCCACACACCCACCCACTCATCCACCCACCCACACACCCACTCACACCCTCACCCACTCACCCACTCACACACTAACCCACTCACACACTCACCCACTCACACACTCACCCACCCACACACCCACCCACACACCCACCCACACACGCACACACCCACCCACACACACACACACCCACCCACACACACACCCACCTTCACTCACCCACCGACTCACTCACTCACCCATTCACTCACCCACCGACTTACCCACTCACTCACCCACCGACTCACCCACTCACTCACTCACTCACCCACTCACTCACTCACCCACTCACTCACTCACCTACTCACTCACTCACCCACTCACTCACCCACTCACTCACTCACTCACTCACTCACTCACTTACCCACCTTCACTCACCCACCGACTCACTCACCCACTCACTGACTCACTCACCTTCACTCACCCACCTTCACTCACCCACCGACTGATTCACTGACTCACTCACCCACTCACTCACCCACTCACTTACCCACCGACTCGATCAGCCAGTCACTCACTCACCGAGCCACTCACTCACACACCTACTTACCCACACACCCAAACACCCACTCACCTACTCACACACTCACTCAGTCACTCACTCATCCACCCAAACACCCACTCACCCACACACTCACCCACTCGCTCACCCACGCATTCACTCACTCGCACTGCAACTCACTCACACACTCACTCACTCGCTCACCCATTCAGTCACCCATACACTCACCCACCCACTTAGTCAGACACCCACTCATCCACCCACTCATCCACCCACTCATCCACCCAGTCACTCACCCAGTCACTCACCCAACCCACCCACACACCCACCCACACACCCACTCACACACTCACACACTCACCCACTCACACACTCACCCACTCACACACTCACCCACCCACCCACACACCTACACACCCACCCACACACACACCCACCCACACACACACCCACCCACTCACTGACCCACCCACTCACTCACACACCTACACACCCACCCACCAACACATCCACCAACACACCCACCCACCCACACCTACACACCCACCCACACACCCCACCACACACCCACCCACCCACACACCCACCCACACACCCACCCACTCACCCACACACACACCCACCCACTCACCACACTGCGGGTCACCTCGCTGCTCTGCTTGTGCCCTCGTCCTGCTCCGCTCTGGAATCTCCCCTCCCCTCACCCCCCCCTCCCTCTCCCCTCCCCCCTCCCCTCACTACCTCCCTCCCACCACCACCGCCTCCTTTCGCCCCCCGCCCCCCACCCCCAACCTCTTACAACAATAACAACAACCTCGTCTAGTTGCAGCAACGCGTTGCACTCTCTCTCTGTCGGTGACAACTTGTCACACTCGTGCTGTTTGTCGCTGGCCGTTGGGCGTTTTGGGTTGGGGAGGGCGTTGGGGCCTTTGGACCCCGCGCTCAGCACCCCGTGATTTATAAATAAATCAACAAACCCGGCCACGACGCCGACCGCTGCGGTTTATTGCGCCGTGACGAAGGCCTATTGCCAGAAACGTCGGCCATTGTGTACGGCACGATTTACATCTATCCCCTCCGGTTTATTTTGCTTCGTCATTCCGCCCTAAACACGTTCCTCCTGCGGAGGGAGCTGGTAGTGACGTTGGGTTGCTCTCTCAATGGCCAGGGTCAACGGCGGCGTGGTGTATTCCGCAAATATGCCCGACTGTGAGGGCGGGCACAAGCCGGCGTGAGTAGGTTAAACGTTGAGTTTTATAAGGGCACCACGGGGTGACCAGCCTCTCCCCTCCCCACCCAGCCCCACCCCTCCCACCTAGCCCCACCCAGTCCCTCCTCACCCTCCCCACCCAGCCCCTCTCCACCCTCCCCTCCCCACCCAGCCCCACCCCTCCCACCTAGCCCCACCCAGCCCCACCCTCCCCACCCAGTTCCTCCTCACCCTCCCCACCCAGCCCCTCTCCACCCTCCCCTCCCCACCCAGCCCCACCCTCCCCACCCAGCCCCACCCTCCCCACCCAGCCCCTCCCCACTCTCCCCTTCCCACCCAGCCTCTCCCTCCCTCCCCACCCAGCCCCTCCCTGCACGACGGACACAACAATCCCCTGTGGGCTGCTGTAACCAGCAGGTTCCTACCAGTAAGATGCTGTTGCTGTATTCTCCACACCGCTACCTGCACACGCCACGGCAGCAGCGGGGGATGATGCGGATGACAGCTGACGCTGCACACACAGAACATTTAAACATTCTCAGCGAGCGGAGTGGCGACTCTGGTCATCCAGAACCGAGGCCGTTATAGTGCAGCGTGTCACCACGCAATGCCCCGGCCACAAACACGAAGCAGGAGACATCGCAGCGACGACGACGACGATGATGTTGGTGATGTTACACGATTCCGCTACTGCTTCCGACGCCGTAGTCTGCTGGACTGACCGTCTGAATGCGACATCGCAGTTGATGTGGAGTCGGGGAGCGGTGGCGCAGCGGTCAGCGCGCCGCGCTACGAACCCGGCGACCCGAGATTGATTCCCGCCCACGGCCACCACCAGCGGTGACAATAACCTGAACCGGGGTCATGGGCCTCCCCTAGGTCAACAAGCCAGTACCTGGCGCGGTGTGTAAACATCGCCGATGGGGAGACAAAGGCGGCCGGGCGTGGTGCTGGCCACCCACCCCCTCGTGTGCCGTGCCGGCCTTCATAGGTGCTGCTCGCTAACAGCACTTGCCCCAACACTCTGTCGCAGGCTGCACTAGAGAGAGGGGGGTGGGGGGTCTCTTTGTGCGATAGAAGTGGCAGAGCGCCTGGGCGTGACTCTGTCGCCGTGAGCTCCGCACCGACATCGAAGCCGCTCCGTCCCACCGCTCCCCGCGGCGGCGCTGGCAGCGAACGCGGCGCGCGACTCGTCTCGACTTCGGCTCCTCCCTCCCTCTCCCCCCTCTCTCCCCCCTCTCTCCCCCCTCTCCCTCTCCCCCCTATCTCTCTCTCGCTTCTTCTTTTACGATGCAGAGGAAACGAGGAGATGCTCCGTGTAGTCGGCACTCTTCTTCGTTCATCATTTCGGGGTTTTTTTCAATGCTTTGGTTTACCTGCCCTTTTTAAATGAAAGATTTCACAAACGATTTCACACTTTGCTCTCCGCCTTTTTACCCCCCCCTCTCTCTACCCTCCCCCAATCTCTCTCTACCCCCTCTCTCTCTACCCCCTCTCTCCCTACTCCATGTCTATGTTCCCCCTGTTTTCTATGTACATATTTGTAATTAATTTTTTTGTAGCCCGAGCACGACCACCACTCCCGATGCCAGCGACGCGCGCCGCGATTCTTTAAACGATGGGGGGGGGAGGGGGGGAGAGAGGGGGGGAGAGAGAGGGGGGGAGGGGGGGAGAGAGGGGGGGGGGAGAGAGAGGGGGGGAGAGAGGGGGGGAGGGGGGGAGAGAGGGGGGGGGGGAGAGGGGGGGGCATTTCACTTTCTGACGAGCTCTTTCGTCGAGCGTGCCGCGTGCCGCGTGCAGCGCCATGTGGCACGTGGGTCGTGTTTGTGACGTGGACACGTGATGCTGTAATCGATGTCACTTTGTATCGAAATGTGTGGGTGGGTGGGTGAGTGAGTGGGTGTGTGAGTGGGTGAGTGAGTGGGTGAGTGTGTGGGTGGGTGAGTGTGTGGGTGGGTGAGTGGGTGGGTGGGTGAGTGTTTGAGTGGGTGAGTTGGGTGAGTGACTGGGTGAGTGACTGGGTGGATGAGTGGGTGGATGAGTGGGTGGCTGACTGGGTGGGTGAGTGTATGGGTGACTGAATGGGTGAGCGAGTGAGTGAGTGTGTGAGTGAGTTGCAGTGTGAGTGAGTGAATGAGTGGGTGAGCGAGTGTTTGAGTGGGTGGGTGAGTGTTTGAGTGGGTGGGTGAGTGTTTGAGTGGGTGGGTGAGTGTGTTGTTTAAAGTAATAAAAAAAGTATCGTCTCTCTGTGTGTCTCTCTCGCGTGTACGTCTGAGAGCACGCGCGGCTCTACGCTGCCTCGAGCGAGCAGCTCGCTCCGGTGTTTGAAGAACACTGCAAGACGCGCATTGAAGGCCTCTTCTCAACAGCTGACAATGACCCCCCCCCCCTCCTGTATAGCCTTCACGTCTCCTAGCCAGCGTGTGCGCCATGGTGTCTTGGATTCGTTAACTACCTCGCCTGGTACACAGGAGGTCGGGGGTTCAACCGCGACCCTGACGCCTGCTGTACATGTAGAAGATGACTTCTGTTGTAGAATCACACGCAGACCAGATTCTCCTTCAGGGCTGCTCGCCGTTCATTCACTCCGTTTCCTCCACTCCACTCGCACTCCTTCTCTCTCCCTCCCTCTCCTTGTTTTACGATCAGTGGAAACAAGAAGATGCTCGGTGTAGTCGGCACTTTGCCTCGTTCATCATTTCGTATTATTTTTTAATTTAAATCTTTGCTTTATGTGCCCCCCCCCTCTCGCTCTCCCCGTCCCCCTCTCCTCCCTTGCCGCCCCTCTCCCCACGCTCGCTCCTCGTTGGATCCCCACGGTACACCTCTACATATATTGTTGTGTTAGCTGACGGAGAAGATCTGAAGAAAGTGACGGACTTTAAGTACCTGGGCTCCACCATCAGCTCAGATGGTAGCATCACGACTGATGTGAGGTCACGAGTCAATGCGGCGTGGATGAAATGGAGGCAAGTCACCGGAGTCCTCTGTGATCGGAAAATGCCGGATAGGCTGAAGGGAAAAATATACAAGACCATCGTCCGACCGGTGGCACTCTATGGATCCGAGTGCTGGCCAGCCACAACTGTACACGAACAAGCTCTCCACACCATGGAGATGAGGATGCTCAGATGGAGCCCCGGGCTCACTCGATGGGATCGTGTCAGGAACGAAGACGTTCGGAAGCGACTTGGTGTGGCCCCCATTGCGGACAAGATGCTTGAGGCAAGGCTTCGGTGGTACGGCCACGTGATGCGAAGTGAAGAGTCATCAGTGGCCAAGACTGCCGTGCGTATTGAGCCAGAGGGCCGCCGTCCACGCGGACGTCCGAAGAAGCGATGGATGGACCGAATAAAGGAAGACATGAAGACGGTCAACGCATCCCCCGAAGATGCCCTGGACCGAGCCAAATGGAGAAGACAATGCCGACAAGCGGACCCTGCGCCACAGCGGGAACAACGCTAGGAAGAAGAAGAAGCCGACTCTCTGTGTTGCATTGCATTATATTTCTAAGTTTACTATGTTTTGTTTTATCTTCAATTTGTACCTGATGATGATTGCTTGTGTTGCAATCGAAACGTCGTATGCTAGTATTTAATTTAGTTTTCTATTTCTACGCGATGACTGCAGAGTCACGAAAGCTTCAATTCAAGTTAGGACCACCTCGCCTGGTGTACAGGAGGAGGTCGTGGTTTCGATCGCGACCCCGACGCCTGCTGCTGCTGCTGCGTGTGTTTGGAGTTTGCGTGTCTCTCCCTCTCCCCGTGTTCGCCCTCCGCCTTCTCCCCACTACGTCCAGACTCAGCGTCACCCACAACGCGTTTCGTTTGTTTGGCGACTGAAACTATTCAACACGACGACGAGGCTGAGTAGTCGTTTCTGAGCGCCAGGGCGCTTCTGAAAAAGAGTTACGTAGCTGAGTGCGCCTTAGGGGCCGGCCATAAATGACGTCACGCACCTAGGGGGGGGGGGGGTCAGACATTTGTGACGATGTGTGACGAGGAGGGGGGGGGGGTGAGAAATGTGACGTCACATCAAAATGCGCAACTTTAAATAAATATAGACAACACGTTCTACTTAATTAAATAGACTTTTTAATAAATGTTTTCTCCTACAACATCAGAGTGCAGCGCCACAGTAAATACGCGCTACAATGACAATAGTTGAAAGCGATTTGAAGCAAGTTTTATTTGGGGGGGGGGCAGAGCTTTGTGACGTCATATTTGAGGGGGGGTCTGACTTTGTGTGACGCCGTGTGACGAGGGGGGGGGGGGGGTTCAAAAATCGTCCAAAATCGCGTGACGTCATTTATGGACGGCCCCCTACCTCGTACCATAAAACATAGTTTATAGTTGAGTTGATTATAGTTCACGGTACAAGCGGCGTTAGATCAATATTGCAGTCTGTGATGCAATGTGTCGGGGTAGCGGTAACGAACCCGGCCACCCGAGTTCGATTCCCGCTCACGGCCAACACCGGTGACAATTATCTGAACGGGTGTTGGGCCTCCCCTAGGTCGACTCAGCCTCAAATGAGTGCCGGCTGCGACGTGAAAAAAAAAACATCGTCACTGGGGAGGCAAAGGTGGCCGGGCGTGGTGCTGGCCACCCACCCCCTCGTGTGCCACAGTGCCGGCCTTACAGGCGCTGCTGCTGGCTAAGGGGCCGTCCATAAATGACGTCACGCGATTTTGGACACGGCGTCACAAAAAGTCAGACCCCCCCCTCAAATATGACGTCACAAAGCTCTGCCCCCCCCCCCCAAAACCTCATTTCCATTTTGAACATAAAACACGCTTCAAATCGCTTTCAACTATTGTCATTGTAGTGCGTATGTAATGTGGTGCTGCACTCTGATGTTGTAGGAGTGTTCTTATAACAATTAGTGTTGTTATAACAATTCTATATTCATTTAAAGTTGCGCATTGATGTGGCGTCACATTTCTCAACCCCCCCCCCCCCCTCGTCACACATCGTCACAAATGTCTGACCTCCCCCCCTAACAACACTTGCCCCAACAGTCTGTTCAAGGCCTTCCGGCGGGGGGAGATGTTCGCAAGTTGGTAAATGTGTGGCCACGTTGCGCCCCCTCGTCTCGCGAACCGCTTCAGCGAGAGCAGCGGGCACGGAGGCCCACAGTGACCCAGTGAGCACGGAGGCCCACAGTGACCCAGTGGGCACGGAGGCCCACAGTGACCCAGTGGGCACGGAGGCCCACAGTGACCCAGCGGGCACGGAGGCCCACAGTGACCCAGTGGGCACGGAGGCCCACAGTGACCCAGTGGGCACGGAGGCCCACAGTGACCCAGTGGGCACGGAGGCCCACAGTGACCCAGTGGGCACGGAGGCCCACAGTGACCCAGTGGGCACGGAGGCCCACAGTGACCCAGTGGCACGGAGGCCCACAGTGACCCAGCGGGCACGGAGGCCCACAGTGACCCAGTGGGCACGGAGGCCCACAGTGACCCAGTGGGCACGGAGGCCCACAGTGACCCAGCGGGCACGGAGGCCCACAGTGACCCAGTGGGCACGGAGGCCCACAGTGACCCAGTGGCACGGAGGCCCACAGTGACCCAGCGGGCACGGAGGCCCACAGTGACCCAGTGGGCACGGAGGCCCACAGTGACCCAGTGGGCACGGAGGCCCACAGTGACCCAGTGGGCACGGAGGCCCACAGTGACCCAGTGAGCACGGAGGCCCACAGTGACCCAGTGGGCACGGAGGCCCACAGTGACCCAGTGGGCACGGAGGCCCACAGTGAC